AGGTGGTCGGCCGACGCGTGTAGGCTACGCGCAACCTCCAGGACCTCTCCCGGTGGATGTTTTCGGTGCGATCTGTTTGCGAATTTTTGTAGAGCTTGGAAGAATGCTTTCGTAAAAGTACAACACGTGTTAAAGTGAGTTTTTTTGGGAGTTAAGGTTTTTTTAGGTGGTTTTTGCGAAAATCGGGTCCATTATTGGTCTTTTATTTTTTCCCCAAAAATTTACTGAATTTCTATTTAACGCCCTAATTTTTAAAAATTTTCGCCCTAAATTAACAAAACAGACAATTCTACCCCGCTCGCCCTAATCCCTAAAATGGTAGTCGTCGCCTAAAAACTCTCCATTCCCCGTCGCCGCCGTTCGCCCTAGGATTCTTCCCTAGCCGCCGAAATCACCATTCCCATGTTGCCGCCGTCGAGCCAAGGAGGAAGGCGAACGTTCGCGTTGTTGCCCTGCCGCCGAGTCAAGTAGGAAGGAGAATCCAAATCGTTGTTCCATCTGTTCCTCTGGAGACACTCAACCGTCTACCTCGGCTGCACCACCTCCTTTGCCGCCGCCCGATTCCGTCAGATCCATCATTGATCCTTCGAGGCGAGGTTGCAGTAGCGCGGCGCTCGTTGATGACGGGAGTAGCGTCCTCGAAGGGCTTCTTCGCAGCTTCACCTCCTTGAAAGTCAACTGTGGTCTTGATTTTAATTAGTTAGATGAATAATTGATTTATTGGGGGGAATTGGAATTGAAGGGAAGGGGATTGGCGGTGAGCTTGTCGGAGATGATGACAGCTTCGAGGATCTGCCCGGCGAGCAGGGTAGATGGCATTTGGCTATAGAATTTTTTTTTTAACGACCGAGTAAGAAGGGCATGCATGTAATTGCACTAGAGTTTAGGGCGATTTTTTTAAATTCTTAGGGCGACGAATATTACGTCCCAAAATTTATAGATCTCATAGATCATGATGAACTCGTTATTTCTGTGCAAAATATTTCAAAGTCGACTTGGAGATATCATATGGTATGAAGGTGGTAACGAGTGGTATGAGTAAATAATTTTTTTTCTCAAAATATATTGAAAATGGATCTCATTATGTAGAGCATAATGAACTCGTTCCATCTGTGCAAAAAATTTGGAATCCAAATTAGAACGAAGAAGATAGAGCCGATTAAAAACACTACGGAAAATAAAAAGACTTTAATTGACAACCCGTAGATCTGGAACCCACTTAAAATGAAAGATTCAGATTTATTTATGCAAGATTATGCACCATAGAGTTATTGACCCTGTCCGTAGCCGAATACCACCCATTTATTAAATTTAGGAAATTAATCGATAATTTTGAAATTAAAAAATGGAAAATAAAATGGAGAAAGTTAATCTGCTAACTTGAAGATTCGTTAGCAGATACTAACTGATATCCAAAATAAATACTACTAAAGTATATAGAGAGCACATACTAGTATTCATGGTTTGCTAACTAATATCCACCATGAATCAACTATTATCCCAAATTCACAAACTAATATCTAGACAACACATAATAGTATCCAGATAACACATAAGAGTATCCATATTGAATACTAGTTGCATTGGTACTTGGTTGATTGTGGATATTAGTTGGTATTTGCTATCTGGATACTAGTTTGTGATGTTTTGAATACTAATCTGTGTTAACTAGATACTTTAGTAAAATCAGTAGACTTGAATACTAGTTCATACAGTTTGGATAGTTTGGATATCTATCTACATAATATATTATGCACTTCACTCTATGTCATTGTTGCCACCTTGCACTTTGATTGGTTCTCCTTATTTGGTGGAAGGGCAACTTTGACAATTTTTCAAACACTCAAGGGTCACTCATTATTATTGGACTTTTGGTTTTCTTTTTAGTAAATGCGATTAGGATTAAGGGAAAAGAAGATTTGTTTTAAGGTAAATGCTACATAATAATTATTTGAATTTAGCTTTGTGTAAATTTATTTTGTGTGGTTAAGGAAAAAACAGAGGCTATCTAAAGTTGTTTAACTCCTAAATGAGATAATGATTGCGAATTGGATTTTGAGATGATAAAGATGATATATCGTTGTGGCGTGGATGTTTGGGAAGAGGTTCCTTCGGAATAGGTTTTTTCTCATTAGGGTTTTACGTTAAACAGATAAACCAAGCATCAACCTTCAAAAGTTTTAGAATCTTAATTTCACAGTGATTTCGGCAAACATGAAGAGGAAGAAAGACGGGAAATCTTGGCAAAATACAATCAATTTATATTGTTCTAAATTCTTTTAATTTTCAAATTAGCCTGTCTAATTTTTACATTAAATTTTGAAAGGTAAGATCGCATGTTTAGTCATAGGTTAAACAATAATTCGATCCACATCGTACCGACTAGATATTTGTGTCGAATTAGATCAAACAAAAAAAATCAATTTTTTTACTCTATGTAATTGCTTAAAGTCGAGATAGTTTTTATTTGAAAATTATTAAATGTAAAATATGGTCCAATGGAATAACTTAAATGCTTCTTCAACCTAACTATGTTGTTATTTACATATGAATAGTTCCATTAACGATTAAAAAATAGTTGTATAATGATAAACCATTAATCATGAGTCGTTGAAATTTTTCATCCGACAACCGCTCCGCTTTTGAAAATATAGGACATAGTCAATAAAATATTTAAAAATATGAGCATATTGTTAAAAGTTAAGTTTGAATTATGAAAACTATAGTTCAAAATTCAAATGATTGAATAACTTAAAAAGGCCATTCCAAGTCAAAATATTCTTTTGCTGATATTTTTCATTTTTGTCTCTTTCAAAAATATAAATTTAATACATCTATACTACTATTTTTGGATTTGCTTTACATAATTGTCCAAATAATCTATTTCCATATCACATTTTTTTCTCCTCAAATTTTTGTATCTTTAAACTATTTAAATGTAATACATATATAGTAATATTATGTACATTATTTACTTTTTAATTCAATAGATGACAATCAACAATATTTAAATTAAAATAGTAATAAAATTTTTCAAAGCTTCATTTGCAAGGTAATTATTCACATATAACGAAGATAAAAAAATTTGTTGATTTTTTTTTTGATTCAGTGATGTTTAATATCTCAAGGCATGAATATAGATTACATATAGTTTTTCATTTCATTCGTTGTCTAACTTAAACTTCTTATAGTTAAGTATAAAATGAAATACAAATTCAATAAAATTATAAAGTTAACGAGCACTAAAAAACATAAACTATCAAAGTACTCTTTTGTACCACCAATGCACGATACTAAAAATCGAACCACCTACGTTTAACTAAAAACAATACTCAAATAACCACAAACCAGCCAAAAGCCGAATACAACACTAGTTAATCTACACATACATATAAGCGTATGTCAATATTTCAGGTTTGCCACCTCACCCTTTCCTCGCCAAAGCGCATAAATCGGAGGGGCGGATGGGTACTTTCACATGTTTTTTCCCCAAAATAACTGGCACACAACGTTTTGGCCCATCTCTTGATTTTCATCACTTCCTTTTCTACTTTTTGGAATTTTCTTTTCTATTTTGTACACCAAGAACATGTGTGTTATGTTACCTTAATTGTACATGTTCATTTGGATTTAGAATGGAAACGGGGCGGGTGTCTCTATATATCTGCCCAAAGACAATATAGTTAAATTATTTGAAATATTCAATTTTTTCATTAAAATGAAGAAAAAACTAAAATATGATCAATATAGTTAAATTATTCGAAAAATTGAGGTTCTTGCATATTTACAACTTCATTTAAGCAAAAATATGAGGTAATAAAAGTAAATTATAAGTAATTTAATAAATTACTTATAATTTAGGAAGATACGGGCCGAAAATGGGGCGGGTCAGGACAGGACAGGTCGAAAAAAGTACTCAGGCTTACCCCAGCCCGCCTACGAGGTGGATCAAACCCGCCTCAAACAGGTCAAACGGGTCGGGTAGAACTGGTCAGTCAAAATTGTCATCTCTAATGTGGACGGGTTGTCGACTTATTGATGTGAGCTATTTTTACCATACTAACTAAAAAATGATTTGGAATGTATATGAAAAAATATATGTGTTTAACGGTTATTTGTTACATAACAATTAAATTAGATAAGCATACAATATTTAATCATTACGTATGCTTATTATATTTTACATAATGCGACCTTTGAAATTTATTATACCTGATAAAATAAAAAAAATTATCTTACTTCATAACCTTGGTAGGAATTCCCTATAATTTTATCACATTTGATTAATATTTACTATTTATAAAAAAATATTTAGTAGTGGCACTAAGTACATCACCGCCTAAATCAAAGAATTGTTGATCATACATATTCAATTTTCACATATTCAATTCGAGTTGCATCGGCTTCTACTTATTTAAACTACTCATATGGTGCATGGATATTGATGAGTTCGCCAAAATAATCACGAATAAAGACTAATAACATTAATAATTATTCATGTTGTTATAGCTATATTGCAATAAAGACAAAGAATATTCATGGGTGCATGAAAGTCCACATCGTTATGTTCTTTTAAAAATTCTAAAAATATATTGCGGTAAATCTAAAAACTAAAATTAAAAATAAAAATAATTTTCAGCCAATCTAAGATTTGACATTAAATTATCATGCTATAATAATTTTGTCATAACTTCAATGAAGATATGGTATTGAGTGGTAACGGAAGAAGTTCCCAATTGAAAGTTGAAACATTAATTCTCAAAATGGAAACAAAAACCTACCCGGCCAATCGGCCGGGCCACATTCTAGTATATACTAACAACTTATGTCGTTAGCATAATAACTCAGCTGAAATAAAACTCACCACTTCATGGTGACAACTAATTTGAGTTTCATTTTTGGATATTAAATTGGTTTAAAAAAAATTTGACCAGAAAAATTTAGCAATTGTATTTAGCCAAAAATTAACAGACGGGGCAATCCCTAATCTTTATTCTTTCATCTCTTCTCTCTTAAATCCCTTCTACTTGACTCCTGACTTCGTTTTCCGAGTTCTTCGGCCTTGTACCTCTTTCCGTAACTTTCTTCTTTCAATCTGCCCAATTTCCGGTGGTTCTCATTCCGGGCGATTGATTCGTCGCATCTTTCAGACTGTTGATGATGTCTGGGCACTCAAGGAGTGATAGCGACAGTCCTTTTGATGTCGACGAACTTCTGCAGATTCAGACGAGATGCCGGGAGGTAAAAAAGCTTCTGTCTTTCCCCTTTCTCGATTGCTTAGACGCCATCAATGATTGTGGTCAAAAGGAACTTGTTCGGTTTTAGTATTCCGAATTTCTTCAGATATTGTCTGCTATTTTGTCATTCCATCACCCCCTTTAAATTTTGTCTTGATTCAGCTTTGGAAAGAGAAGGACATGCTGAGAGAATCACAGCCCCAGAGCTTTGAATTCTTAAGGGTAACTATCCATCCTTGGTTTGTACGGATTCATTTCCCTGAATAAGTGTGGATTGGAGCTAGTTCAATTTCATTTCTTTATTTTTTTTTTCTTTTTGTGTGTAGCTCGGTATGAAATTTGTCTTTCCCCAATATGGCCCTTGAGTAGCTAGCGAGGCATAGTATCTGAACTTAAGGATATGTTTCTTTTCATTTTGTTCCAACTAGGTTCATTTTGGTTTTCGTGTGTACTTCCAAGTGGATTAAGTTGAATTGCCAGTCTGAAATACTTGATACTGGGAGGTAGAACTTAGAAGATTGTATCTGAACCCTTCACCTAATTTTGGCTTCTGTGCTCTTTCTATGAGGATTAAGAAGCTTTTGGTGCTTTTAAGGTAACAGAGTGAACAATGGAAATGTTGAATCTTGAGAGGTTTAGTGATGATTCTCTTCTAAGTTCATTATTTGCAGGGGTTAGAATCACATGTGAAGTCTTTGACTGGGGCTCGTGCGAAAGACACAAGACGCATAGAAATGTTGGAAAGGGAGCTATTAAATTGCTCTCAAGAGATAGGTCAGCTAAGTCTTTATATAGGTTTCTTGCTTTTCATATTCCTTTCTTCCCCATACAGATTACTTTGCTCAACCAAGTCACTTACTTTTTATAGATTACTTTCAAGATCAACTCAGTGCAAGGAATGCTGAGGTGTTCAGTTTAGGAAAGCATGTCGATGAGCTCGAGTTAAAATTAGTCAAGGTGCATGATGTAGAAATGAAGAATCACCAATTATGGGACGAATTGGAACGGTCTAAGTCAGAAAATCAGTTATTGATTGAAGAACTATATAGCAAAGAGGTGGAGCTGAAACGTTCATCTTTAGTTATAAAGACACTAGAGGAGTCAATTTGCTCTGTAACCCTAGATTCTCTGTGCGAAATTGAGGGCATGAAGCTTGATATGATGGTTTTGGAACAACCTTCCTTTGAAGTTCAAAAAGCTCAAGAAGAAGCCATTCAAGAAAATGTATCCATGAATAAGCTAATCAAAGAACTGGACATTCAGATTCTGAATAATCAAAAAGCTGCTGAAGATTTAGAAAGGGAAAATAAAGAACTGAGAAATAAGCTGAGGACATCAGAAATAAGTGCTCAAGAATATCTTCAGATGATTGACAAAGTGCTAAAACCCACGTGTAGCAAGACCGCAAGCAGTACGAAGGTATCTAATGAAATGAGGTGAGTTACCAACTTCAACGCCTCCATCTGAATGAATTATATTACTTTTACTAAATTGCTTCTCTAGTTGCATTATAATTTTGATTGACCTGCTGTCAAGAAATTTAGTCTTTAACTAATAAGTTACATACAGTTCAGTGGGGGTGTAATTTACCCAAAGTACGTGTTATAAGTAATTAATACTTTTGATGTTGGGTTAAGTTAGTGAAGCTACTGAAGAAGAAACCATTGATCCGAAAATTGAGAAATGGTTGATGGTCCTGATTTGGCAATTTCAATACTTACATCAGCAAATTGAATTCCACCATTGATGACAGTGGTACATGAATGCTGCAGTCTTATACTCTTGTGGAGGATCCATTGTCGAATACCTACCCTTCTATTCTTTGTGTAACTTGTATCTGAGTTATACTTTCAGCTCATAAACGTGACTTGGGAGCATTTATTCAATACCTTTTGTGCTTGTATTTGTATGGAAACTCATGTGCTTGTTGATGTTATAACGTATTTTTCTTATGTGTCAAGTGCTTGTGGGGAGGTGCTTGGTGAACTCTTTTTGAAGCTCCCAATGATATTGGAAGCAGAAGGGGATTCAAAGGGGCAACTTAACAGTATGTCATGCCTGATAAACGACTATGAAGCTATTGTGAGAAACCTTAAGGTACGAGTTATAGCCTTATGGGGATACCAAATTGACTTGGATTTGGATAATGAGATTAATAATCAAACTGAACGTGCTTAACAATTGAAGAGAAGTTTAAATGGAGTCTTGAACGCTTACAATTTAACTGTGGTGATATTAACTTTCTCATTATTACTAGGAAGAACTGAAAGAGCTCAAATTAAAAGCAAAGGAAGAAGCTGAAGACTTGGCACAAGAAATGGCTGAGTTGAGGTACGAAACAACAAGTTTACTTGAAGAAGAGCGCAAACGGCGTGCTTCCATTGAACTAGCATCGATACAAAGAATAGCTGAATTAGAGTCGCAGGTAAATGATATATTCATGAATCAATTGCACTTGCTGGGTTAATGATGGAATAAGTGTCGACTCTGAAACATATTTTTGTTGCTGTAAAGGTTCAAAAAGAAAAAAGGAAGTTGGTTGCTGCTATTGGCCATCTCAATGAAGCATAGAAGAGGGTCTCATAGAGAACTTGAAGGCTTGTTTGTTAAATGTTTGAAGTTTTGAATCAAGGTATGCATTTCTGTTGTATCTTGGGCTTTCTGAAGCTGCTGGAAACACAAATGACTGCTGGAAACACAACTGTTCGACAATCCTGGAGTCACTGAGGGTTCTGTTGATACATACATGAAAAGGTGAGTAAAATAAAAGAAACACGAGGAGCATATTAACTAATTCACCATGTTGTGCGTGGGGGTGCAGAAAGAAAGATATAACAAGACGGGAATTTACTCACAGAAAGTGATAACCTGTAGATACCTCTTAGTTGAATGTGTGGATTTATGCAATTCAGTGCATTGATTTTTGTCTTGTTATGCTGCCAGTGAAACATTTCCTAATCTCCAAAGACTGGAATTGTAGGAGGGCTGGCATCCGCACACAAATAGAACTACACTGCAGTAGAACACTTGGGCAAGATCCAGAACTTATCAAAGTTGATGGAGCAGAGCAGAGGTTTCATGATTGGAATTTACGCTGCCATCTGGTTGTATCAAGAACGTTGCCATCTGGTTGTCCGTGACAAGTGGTATCAGACACGGAATACGAGAATGAGTAAGCTTGTACTTGAGTAGCACGAATGCCTTGTCTTGCTCTTCATCCCAACAGAAAACAACATTCTTCTTGATGATTGAAGTTTATGGTGCGGCTATGGTGCTGAAATTTGACACAAATCGTCGTTAAAAACCAGCCAAGCCATGAAAGCTCCTCAAGTTATTGACATTAGTAGGGGTAGACCACGCTTGAATTACCTTCACCTTCTCTTCATCGACTTCAACTCCATGAGCACTAACCAACAGTGGTGTAGCCAGGAATATTGCTAAGTTGGGTCAAAAAAGAAAACATAGCATAAATTATATTAATCGTTTACAATGATCCGCGACTTGTTTTCATAATCTTAAAAGTATTTAAAATACATTCATCATCCAAACTGTCAAAGATGTCACTCTCAATGTAACAAACCAAAAAATCGTTCGTGATGTTATAACTCATCTTATTGCGAAGTGTGTGCTTCAATAATTCACTGCAGAAAATGCTCTTTCCACACTTGTAGTGGCAACAGGAAGCAACAACATCAATTTCAGAAGTCGATAGGGTTAGGGATTGTGATGGACATGGGAAAATAGGCGAAGTTGTTTTTAATATCTGAAATACTAAACCTGCAATAAATAATATAAACATTCACCTTGACTCAACATATAGCCAGTAGCGTGGTGGCTGAAGTGTTGTTCCGATGCGGGGTGTGGGATATCTCTGGACAAGGGAGTGCTAGGGATGGCAATAGGTCCGGTTGGGTCTGGGTTTGAAAATGCAAACTCAACTCAACACGCTGGGTATCCACGGGTTCATGAGTACCCATGGGTTTATGTCGTAAAAAATTTACAATAACAAGTTCATATCAAAATAAAAGTCAAATATCAATCTTTCAATACAAATTATCCATATATAAAACACAATTCTAGAAAATTCAAGCAAATCACAAATTAACGTTACAAATTTTTCAACACCAATCTAGAAAACTCAAGAAAATTGAAGCAAATCACAAATTATCCATAAACAACCTGATTAATTGAAAACTTCTTCCTACTTGTCAATTAAGCTTCGTCACTCTCCATTTCATAATATCAACTTCATTTTACACAATTAGAAAGAAAAAATTAGACATGTTTTCACAAACATAAAGAATATTAGTTGCTTCGAATATTAAATATACCGACAAAATTAATTATATGGGTGTCGACGGGGTATCCATGGGGCGGGTATATCTAAACCCAAACCCAACCTGGTGAATAGTGAACAGGTTTAAACCCGAACCCGGCCCAAAACCCGTCAACATGGGTTTTACCCGCGTTGACTGGGTTGGGTCGGGTAGGATACCTGTGGGTTCGGGTTTTGTTGCCATCCCTATGGAGTGCATGCGACCTCCCTTGGTTTCATGTGGCTCCGCCACTGCTAACCACAAAAACAAAAAATACCACGCTTGAGGTACAAAACGTGCAATACTTAAGATTGGCATAGAGCTGCTCTTTCCTCAAAGTCGCCAATATTTCCCGTAGATGCTCAAGATGATCTTCCATACTCTTCGGGTATATCAAAATATCATCGAAGTACAACCACGAACTTCCTAATAAAAGGCTCTCAAGTTAGGTCACCCAATTCGTGGGTTGACCCTTGCCGCTCCCGGATTGGAGCATGAAAACGCGCTTTTATAGTAAAGCGTTAATAATTCGCGTATTACACTTAATCAGGGCGCGGATTATATTAGAAAGTTCGCGACTCGCCTGACGAATTGAGCTTTTATAGAAGATAAAAAGGAAAAGTCTTCTTCGAGCTGGTCGTTCCATCGCCCCCCGCTGCCAAATCAACAATCGTTGATGCAGTCCTTCGTTTTCCTCCTACAAGCTGTTGTCGATGAACTGAGTTAATACAAAGCAAAGGGAAACACTTGTTCTCCTTGCCACCGACCGCATTATCTCCTCCTGCTGCAAAATCGATGGTCGTAGATGCAGTGCTTCTTCCCCTACAAACTAGTGGTTTCCAATTAGAAGTTGATCTGTTATGAGAAGTAACTTTGAGATAGAAAAAAGATTAGGACTTTGCTACGGTGACATGCATGTCACGGTGACATGCACTTTTCGATCGACCTCATATAGGATCAGGTCGACCTAATCTGTTGTTTCAGTGTAAAAACAGTTTCATGGTGCCTACTTTGGAGATTCATATCTTACAATTGGCTAGATGGAAATTGGAGATTAAAGGCTTGTTTTGAAGCTGAGTGTCCCTCTACACATTAAAGTACTTGGGAGCTCAATAGAAAGTCCAGAAGAACATTTTTGAACCCGACCAAAAGGCTATGCCAAAACTGGGAAACTGCCTGAAAATGGCTAAGTTTGGCAACGTGTTTGTCAAGCCTACTTTGGAGCTCAATTTGAGAAGCATGGATGCGAGTCAAGTCTAGGGGCCTCTACCACGTTAAATTACGTATTTTTTTATACAAAGGCAATGTTGTGGGAACTCGACTCCGGGTTAGAGGGGGAGAGGGCCGGTCGGCCAAAGAGGGGGAGGGAAGGAGTGGCAAACTTGTTATTTTGTGTTATTTCGGTTTATGCTACTTAAGGATGCACTTTCATTAGTTTTGGGAATTAAGCAATAATAATCAGAAATTCTCAAATCCCTAATCTCTATTCTCTCTCTTGTTCTTCCCCAATTCTCCAAATCCCTAAATTCTACTCTTCTCAATCCCTAAATTCCCAATTCTCCTTTCTTGTGTTCTACATCTGGTATCAGAGCCCCGATCTTCAATGAGTTCTTCCAAACTCTCGGACCTGTCATGGGCAGAACTGAGGAACCGAGCCCGCAGCATAGGTCGAAGGTGGCTGCCCGCTGAGCAGGAGGCCGCGCGACCCGACCCAGCAGCCCCCGCCGCCGCGCGCCTGCCCCCGACGGCCGACCCTGCACCCCGCGCCGCCGCCCAACTCGCGCCGCCGGTCGGATCCTTGCCGTGCGCCGCGCCCGCGCCCCCGGCGCCCCGCCCCGCGGCGACTGCCGCGCCCGCCCTGGTCGCGCAAGGCGCGCCCCCGCCCTGCCTCTCGCTGCACTCGGTGTCGGGCTGGTCCTCCCCGCGAACTCTTCGTTTCCAAGCTCGAATCGAGGATCGTTTGGCCATCACCCTGGTCGACAGTGGCGCGTGCTTGAATTTTGTGGGCGAGGAATTCGCCAAGCAACTGCAGCAGGTACCCGTGGCCACCGATTCCATGGTGTGAAGGTGGCGAATGGCTCTACACTGAGCTGTGGAGGGGTCCTTCAAGGTATATCTTTGGAAATTCAAGGTCTGCCTATATGCACTGATCTATATATACTGCCAATCAAGAGATTCGATATCATTTTGGGGATTCCATGGCTACAGAGTTTGGGTCCTGTGACTAGTGATTGGCAGAGGTTGACCATGCGTTTCTAATGGAGGGATAAGGATTGGCAGTTGCAGGGCCTCACCACCGTGGTTGGCCCTATCTCGTTCGAGGACTGTGGTCCGGAGGGCGAGGCCGAATTGGCCATTTTGTGTTGGCCGATCGAGGAGGGGGCGCCGCCGGTGCTCCATCCGGAGCTTCAGGAGCTGCTTGGCCATTACTCGGATTTATTCGAGACTCCCACTGCCTTACCTCCTCACCGACTGGTTGATCATCAGATTCAGTTAAAAGAGGGAGTGGAGGCGGTGAATGTGAGACCGTACAGATATGGGCATTCGCAGAAGGAGGAGATTGAGAGACAGGTCTCTGAGATGCTGCTCACGGGCTTGATCAGGCCGAACACCAGCCTGTTCTCATCGCCTGTGTTGCTGGTGAGGAAGAAGGATGGGACCTGGCGTTTCTGCACGAATTATCGGGCTCTGAATGAGGCCACAGTGAAGGATCACTTTCCCATCCCGACAGTGGATGATATGTTGGATGAGCTTCATGGCTCCCGCTATTTTTCGAAGCTGGATCTGCGGGCAGGGTATCACCAGATCCGGATGCGGGAGGAGGATGTCCAGAAGACGGCATTTCGCACTCATAACGGGCACTATGAGTACTTGGTGATGCCATTTGGGTTGTGTAATGCGCCTTCCACCTTCCAGGAAGCCATCAATGAGATTTTTCGGCCCCTACTGCGCCGGTATGTTCTGGTTTTTTTCGATGATATCCTGATTTACAGCCCTTCTTGGGCAGATCACTTGGCTCACTTGCAGGCAGTATTCGAGATTCTACGGGCAAATCAGTACTATATCAAGGCATCCAAGTGCGAGTTCGGGGTGCAGGAGGTGGAGTATTTGGGTCACATGGTGACTCCACAGGGTGTGAAGGTGAACCAGTCCAAAATTCAGGCCATGGTGACTGGCCGGTTCCCACGACGATGACTGAGTTGCGTAGTTTTCTGGGTCTGACCGGGTATTACCGGAAGTTTGTGCAGGGGTACAGCATGATCGCCCGACCATTGACGGATTTACTGAAGAAGGGGGGGTTTGTTTGGTCACCAGCAGCGGAGGCTGCATTTCAGCGGCTGAAGCAGGCTATGACGACCACTCCGACTCTCGCCATGCCGGATTTCTCCAAGCCATTTGTGATCGAGGTGGATGCATCGGGCCGGGGGATAGGGGCGGTGTTATCTCAGGACCGCCACCCCATTGCCTTCATGAGCAAGACGCTAACACCCTCCAAGGAGGCTTGGTCTACGTATAAGAAGGAGATGCAGGCGATTATTACTGCAGTACAGACCTGGCGGCCGTATCTCCTGGGGTAGAAGTTTCACATCTACACCGATCACCAGAGCTTGAAGCACCTCCTCGAGCAGCGGGTGTCTACTCCGGATCAGCACAAGTGGGTATCGAAGCTATTAGGCTACGATTATGAGATTCACTATCGCCCCGGGCCCACTAATGTGGTGGCGGATGGGTTATCGAGGAAGCCGGGCAGCGAGATTCTCGCCGCAGTGTCGGGGCCCATTCAGCAGTTTTGGGATGAGTTACGGGCATCCATGGAGACCAGTCAGTATTTGCAGGATTGCCGAGAAATCGCAGTGAGCGATAACCCGGGTCATTATTTATTTCGGCAGGGGTTGGTGACGTTCAAGGGTCGAGTAGTTCTTCTTCCTGGCTCGAACCTGGTCACCTCAGTACTTCAAGAGTTCCATGACTCCCCGTTGGGTGGACATTCAGGCGCCGAGAGGACGCTTCGCAGGATTAAGGGCCATTTTTACTGGCCCAGGATGGCACAGGCGGTGCGAGCCTATGTGGAGTCATGCGATACATGCCAGAGAGTGAAGCTGTCTTACCTGCGACCCGCCGGCCTTCTACAGCCGATGCCGGTACCGGAACGGGTATGGGAAGACATCAGCATGGACTTCATAGTGGGGTTGCCTCCCTCAGGTGGGAAGACGGTATTGTTCGTGGTCGTGGATCGGCTCACGAAATATGCTCATTTTATGCCCTTGGCGCACCC